AAAAAAAAAAAAAAAAAAAAAAAAAAAAAGAAAGAAAGAAAGAAAAAATAATATAATTGTGAAAAATATTCTTACGTAATAGAATATAATTTTATAATTTTTAAAATAATAAATTTAATAAATGTTAATAATAAATTTCAGCCTTGTATTATTTTTCCATTTAATCATCATTGATTTTGATATTTAATCAACATCGATTTATTATAACATTTACTTCAATATCGAAAAATTAATGAAATAAATAATCTTATAAAAATCTTCTCGAACAATCTAATATTCCATTTGTCAACCAAGTAAATCGCAATTTCTATAAATGAATCAAATAATTGAAGAAAATAGACGAAGGCTAAAATTTATTATGAAATAATAAATGAAGCCAAGAAAATACCATATATATCTATTTAAATGCTATGATGAAAAAGAATCAACAATTTGATTCTATTCTAATGTCATTGGCAAGGATACAATATTCAATTTCAAATATAGTTTTCCATATAAATAGACAAGACATGTATATACAATTGATCACATTAGATGTGATATATATGCATCTTATATTAAATTATATAATACACAAGATATAATAAAAAAATGATATCGATACATAAGAAATATTTACTATTAAATATTTACTATTTTATTTTACAATCATATTTTAATAGTATGAAGATAAATTACAATAATGTGTAACGAATAATTTTGCAATTTTGAAAAATTGAAACAAAAGCAAAATAATCAAGCAGTCAAAAACTTTTGTAATCAATTGTATATATTCATAGATATATTTTGATATATTGATGTATTCGATAATAGATGTAAAAATGAAAACGTTCGATTAACGAAACCGTTTTCTTCTTTTTGTTCCTTCAATAAATAATGAACAAATTGTGAACAAACTGTATAGTTAGTTTACAAACGTATTGCTCAACTAATTGTTTTCGTGAAGTAAATATTATCTTGAAAAATTCTTGTGATATAATTGTGAATAGCATTAGAATAGAAAATTGTTATATATATAATATCTATAATATTGTACTTCGCATACTGGTAATGATTTCCTTCTTGTCATATAAATTGTTACAAACATGTTAATGAAATTTAATAAATATAACTCTTCATATAACCCTATCCTTAAATATTAAAGATAAGTTTTTTTTTTCAGTTTATTAATATGATTAGACGATCGTAATATTTATCAGTCGATTTCACAGATGTAATTTTTTCACACGCTAATCTCGTTTTTGGTTTTTTTTTTTTTTTTTGGTAATCGAAAATTTTTCCGTAACGAATCTCTCGATTACAATATCAATGATGCGTAAACTTCGTTTTTGTATGCCGTATAAATCACGTACTATATTCGACTTAATTTTCTATTTTTCTATTTTCGATTTAACAATCGGAATTAATAATATACTCTATCTTTTATAAGTATTTCGCGTTTGTACTTTAAATATTAGAGGTTTGGATTCTAACATTCAAAATTCGAGTTCTTTTTTTAAAAAAATAATAAATTCTTTTTTAAAAAAAATAATAAAAATAATAAAAGAAGTTTAAATATTAAATACAATTTTAATTACAATTATTATTTTTAAAAGTAATCTAGCGGTAAAAAAAATTATATTAATAATTATGTAATTAAAACAATGCGAAAAATTTAAATTATTGAATTGAATTGAAATATTAAAATTTTTTGAAGTATAATATTAAATAATTAAAAAAAAAATGAAACTTAAATTATTAATAAACTTAAAAATTATTTTATTTATTCGAGCAAAGTAAATTTTTTTAGTGAAATTAATAAATGAATATAATAGATGAATATAATAAAGTTAAATAAGAAAAATGGATATTAAAAAAGAGACAAATTTAGAATTTTTTCGAAAAGAAAAATAAACAAAATCTTACCAAGGCGGTGTTCGTCTAAGTGATGTCCGTAGACAAGAATGTCTTCCTATAGTTGAATTGGGGCTTCTTGGATTTCTAATTAAAACAAAACAAAATTTACAAAACACATTATCTATAATCTAATTAATTATATTACATTTTTACAGCATGTAAATTTCAATTTTAATAATTAAGAATTATTTAAAATATGTTTAAAAATTTTGCAAATTTAAAATAAGTTACCAATTCTTATGTTGATGATTTCTTTTTTTCATATAATTATTTGAAAGAAAATAGAATTGAAAGAAAATATAAGATTAGATTAATAATTTTGAAGAATATGGAATATAATAAGATATTCAATTTTATTTTCTCTTTTCACGTGAAAGTTTTTTCTACATGTTAGCAAAGTATTAATTTCGTGGGAATAGATCTGTTTGAATGATATACATATAAAATGTGAGAAAATTTGTATTAAATTTCGTGTCAACTACAATGTACTTAATACAAGATAAACATATTCAACATGAATATTAAAATATATTTTGATAGAATGATTTTAAAACAGACGTAATATAAAATAAAAATAATACTATATACGATTTGTATATGAATGATTTTATATCAGAGGTATTTTAAACGAATGTCAAAATACCATTCATTATATTTCAATAAAAACAATTATAAAATATTTTTAGTATATTATTATAATTGTACTTCATTTTTGATCGTAAATTCATTTCTAACTATAACAAAAATATTAATGTAATTTTTTAATAATTCTTATTTATATATATAACGCTTATGATACCCTCTACAGGACATATTGAGAAACTAAAGTTTACTGAACTTAAAAATATTCGCGCGCAAAATTACGACAATTTGTGTATTATCGATATTATTACATAAAGAACAATCAATGTATAAGTATATACATATATGTATATATAGAGAAAGAGAAAGTAAGAGAAAAGAGTAAGAAGAAAAGAGGCGAACTTACTTGAAAGAACTAGTACTTGTGGGTGAAGGTGCAGAACTGCTACCACCCAGCGATTCCACCCCGTCATCAGCGTCACCTTCGACAGATCCAAATGCTTCGTAGCTTTCTTCTTCTTCGTGATTATTCGTAGATTTAATGTTACAAGATGACGCGATGGCATCAACGTGTTCGGGACTAGCGGAATAATGCCCAGAGTCTTGAAGATTCGGATTGACCAGATTATGCAAGTCCACCGACATAGAAAGCGAAGGCGGACCACTTTGGCTCC